TCAAAATGCGCTGGAGTTCAAGGGACTCAGGTGATTCCCCGCCCAGTCAAAATCCATTTGAATTCAAAAGACCCAGGAGATTCCCTCCCACCACAAACTTCAGTTCAAGGGACTCAGGTTGTCCCCCCAACCCCGCCATGAGCAATCTGACCCCCTGCTTGAACATACCCCCAGCAGATGTGTAGCAGCCGCGGGGATGCTGCCGCTGGAGCCGCGCGCGGAGCTCGGGAGCCGCCTGGGGACCGCGGGGCCGCTCCGGTGAGGCTGGCGGCGCATAGCCGGAGGAGCGAGCTGCGCTGCGCGGGAGGCGGCAGGGCCCCTCATTTCAATGGAAGAGAAGCGATCAAAGCAAAGCAAACGATCTAGGGAGAGGGGAGGGTAGACTTTGGGAGGGGGGGTATACAATTCATTCATTGCAGCGTGGAAATGAAAGGCTGATAGCACACACATCTGCATTTAACCCCCCCTCAAAATCTACTTTAATTCAAGGAACGTGGCTGATTCCCCCCAGAGCAAGATGAAACTCCCTCGAATAGATCACCGGGTTCAAAGCAGCAAAAGGCAAACTGATTAAACTCCCTGTCCCTTCCATTGTCCCTTCCCTGCAGACTGTCCCAAGATGCTGTGTCTGGAGGAGAACGAAATCAGGGCTCACTAGCTTTTCAACAGGGATGCAAAAATAATATGGGGACAGTCGCACGTGCCTGCAGCAGTTGCCTTTTAAACATTTGGCAAATCCAATTAACCTTTCAAAGCCAAAGCAGCCTCCAAAGTCTGGTTACTTATTTATTTTTTTTTACATAGTAGACGTCTTTAAAAAGAGGGAAAACCTTAGAGCACACAAGTTTGTGCCTGAAAGCTTGCAAATAAGTTTTCCCAACTATTTAGTTGGTCTAATAAAAGATATCATATCTACTCAAAGAAACTTGCCTGCCTTAGAGCGCACACACGTTGGCAGACTCTTCTTATGCCTGAAGAAGGGTATTTGTGTCCAAAAGCTTGCAAAGAACATTTTTTTCCCAACTATTTAGTTGGTCTAATAAAAGAGATCACATTTACCCAAAGAACCTTGCCTGCCTTTGGACATGGAAAACTTTTGCTGGTGTGATATTAAACTGGGCTAAAGGGGGTGGTTTTGTTTAATATGCTTTACTGGCGGGTTAAAGTTGTAGGAAAATCCCATCATATGGTGACACAAACAAAAATAAAGTGCATTGATATTTAATACAAATAATAGGAATTTAACAACGTTCCAAATAGGAAATTCCAATTGCTGAATTTTGGGCCAGTACATATGTTTTGTGGTTAAGTTAAAGTAACCCAAACTTGTGCTTGATTGCACTAAATGCTAGTTAACGCTAGTTAAACATGCATGTTGGTTGGACAGCTAGCAGATCAGAGCAATTCAAGGTGACACCCAAACTTAGTCTAGCTTACTGCCAAAGCTGTCCTTAGTTGACCCTTGCTTTTTCTAGGAATTCACAGGATCTGGAATTGTGTGCTTAATCTAAGCTCCCACTAAACTCAGAGACAAAGCTGGAGGAAGGCTTGGGCATCCATATCTGTAAGGCGCTCAGTACCCTTCTCTACTTCTTGTGTCAAGAGATGCCAAGCATGCTTCTCTCCTTGGAGACAGCACATCAGCTGTGCTCTGTACCATAAAACCCACTCCCATTAAAAGTCACTGGCAGAGCCCCAGCTTCAATGCGAGTCAAGGAAGTCTTATGGCTACAGTGTCAACAAGTCAAGCAGTTTCAGCAATAAATTTGTCAAAGCCATAGCTGCTGTTACAGATCTCCAGCAAAAGCAGTCCTCATGGGGGTTGGTAAATTGCCATGAAATTCTATGGAAAAAAACATATCTTGGTTTTTCAGGATACAAAGGCAGAGGCAGGACAGGGTACATTTTAGAAATTATGTTGGTCAGAGAGGTGTAAGTCTCTAAGGTGGCTCCCTGCCCTGCCTAATTTCAGACTAATACAGCTAATTACCGCTCAGTACACACCAGATTAAACAGAAGCTATAGTATAATAGAAAAGATAGATTAATTCCTACATTTACTTACAAAAAACAGCATATTACTGCATCTGCTTTTCAGCCTCTCTGGAATTTCAGTGATTTACATCAACTGAAGATCTATTAAATATTTTTTTATACATTTCAAATCTTTTTTTTTGCCTTGGGTAATACTAAAAAAAACATACCTCCACTATTTATTAGTATTCTAAAAAAATCAGACACGTATAAAATCATTTTTTATATATCAGATCAATTAAAATAAAGGGTTCAGAATAGAAGACCTAACAAAATTGTTCTCGGTCTGAGATCTTACATCTTAAATTTTGGTAGATGAAGAATTTCAATAGGAGATTTATAATCCACACCCACCATGGAAGAGAAAGAAAAAAACCCTTTATCACTGTAACAGTGTCACAATGCTAAAGTGGAATGAAAGGCTCTGTTGTGGTAATGGAAATGGTGACATTACCATAACTATAGCACTGCAGACAATGGTACTTAAAATAATTAAGGGTTATATTACAAATTATAGTTAAAATATATTATTTACCTATGCTTCTATTTAACATACAATTCATTTTATTAGATAATTATTTATAGTAAGAGTTCCTGATGCATTATTTTAAATAAATAAGCTAATCAGTAGCGTAGTTGATGAAATGACAGTAACTATCAAGAAATGAAAGATGCTTTAAAATAATTTGTTTTTTATGTTTATCTAATCTTGATAGAAATATATAAGCCAGCAGCAGCAGGGGGTGCATAAAACTGGCATCTGGAAAACTGCCTGAGACCCCCAACAAGCACACACACAATATATGCAATAAAAAAGAGCACTCTGTTCTCTGTTGCAGATGAGAACAGTTCACAAACCACCTTCTCACCAATCTATTGCTATAAAAGGGCAAGGTTCTGCTACAACTAATGTGTCACTTTCTTTAAACAGCAATGAATATTACTATGCGTATGAGACTATTCATTGGAAACATTAGTACCTCAAGTAGAAATACTCTGATGAGAAATATTCAGAAGCCTTTAGTTGATCATGCAGTATGCATGCGAAAAAAGCACACATCATGGGCCATAATTCTCCTCCAGAGCTGCTATGACACAGAGTCCCTTCAGCATAGTTCTGTTCATATTGGACAGGAATAGTCAAGCTGAGCCTGCCTTGCTGATGGACTGCCAATTATCCAGAATATTTCCATAAAAGCTTAAATTTGAATACTGCACAAGCTACAAACACTTACCAGGTAAAATTAGTATGGGGTCCAAAATGGGAAAGTTAACAGGGATTACTTAGGAAGCTGTCATCCAACCCTGCATTTTTCCCAGTAACACCAGGGAAAACCAATGTATAGTCTACCAGAAAAAAAACCCAAAACTTTTAAAAAATCAGGAAAATTAAAGAATCTGATTCTGTAGTTCTTTATTCATATGAGAAATCCTTCTGACTTCAGTGTTGGACTCAGTAAAGATCACCCTTGTGTAGGTGAAGCATCCCTCTTAAGCCAGTTCTAAGGGGTTGTAACTTCAGATAGATAGGATTTTTAGTAGATCAATTTACACAGACAAAATAGTCCTACCACACTTTGTAAGTAGTGTGAAGAGGTTACGGCTGGCCACTGCTCCAGCACTGAGGTGAAACAGCAGGCATGGGAAGTGAATTTCCTGTATTTTGTTTGTTCTCATTCTTCCATAGTCGCTGTCCTAACCACTCCTTCCAGCTCCTACCACCCAATCATTTGGTAGATTTTTTTCCCAGAAGTGGTTAGGATTTATTTTCTTCCATCTTTGCCCTAGTCAGAGGAGGAGAGCAGGAGCATCTCAGTGACCCTATTGCAACCCAGGGATTCTCACAGAAAACTGGGCACAGATCTGTTATTTACCTCAATGGTCTCCCTGCCACTGAGAAAAAGAGAGGCTTGGGGCTTTGCCAAAGCAGGCTACATTCAACAAAGGCTCTCTCTTGTTTTTCCTGGGTAAATGCTCATTTATTATCTATGAGCAGACAGGTAGTTTTTAAGTCTGAAGCTAAGCAGAAGTTAGGACAGGGTGCTACTTGATAGATTAACTCAGGGGTGGGAAATTATTTGGGCAGGCAGGCCACTTAATGAGTTTTGGTGATCTGTGTAGGGCCACTTCTCCCCGATCTTCCTGTGGCTGCAACCAAAGCAAAAACCTGAACCCACTAGCAGCTGTAGCATGTCCTGTCCCCTTCCCCCCCCAAATCTGGACCAGGCAGCTGCTGGTCATGTCCACAGCTACCCAAATGTGGCCTGCAGCTTCTAGGTTGGGGCTCCTAGCATGGAGAGTGGGGGTGGGGAGGGGAAGGCATGTTACAGCTGTGGACTGTGACCAGCACTGAAGTTTGACCCCACCTGCAGCTGTGCCCAGAGCCCTGACCCAGAAGCTGCTGGCTACATTTGGGCAGCTGTGGACATGGCTGGCAGTTGTCAGGTCTGGCCTTGAGGGTAGGGGCAGTGGCAGGGACAGGTGTGCTACAGCTGCACATGGGATCATGCTTCCACTTCTGCACTCGTGGCAGCCCTGGTCCAGAGAGGTAGAGAGAGTGTCTGGCATGTTGAAAGCAGCACTGGCTGCCCAGCATCACATGGCTGCTGGAGCCAGAGCTGATGCCCACCCATGGGCCAGATCCATTCACTTGGGAGGCACAGGCCAGATCAAATCAGTTAGTAGGTCACATCTGGACCACAGGCTATATTTTGTCCACCCCTGGACTAACTGGTTCCAAGATGCATGAGTTTTCATAGGCAACAACCTACTTTGTCAGATGCTACAAACACTACTATTTATGAAAGCCTAATTTATGTAACTAGATGGAGTGTGGGATTTACAAGACGTGAAGGACTGAGCTGTAATTGTGTGTACTATTGAACACATACACATACAAACTAATTACCATGTCTAATTTGATGTTTTCAGGTCTCTGGTAGGTAAAGGTGATCATTTAAAAGTGGAACATTTTTCTCTGCCCTCTACAAGCTCCACCACCAATGGCTCATTATTGCATCATTTACCCCTTTTTTTTTCTTTTGAACACATTGTATATATTTTTAAGATTATGTAACCAACATACTGGATAGGATCTATGGTCTATCACATACAGTATTCTGTCTCTGAGTATGGCCAGTGCCAGATGCTCCAGAAGAAGGTGACTGAAGTCCTAAAACATGTGATTTTATACTCCTTTTGAATCTTTTAAACATCTTTTTTAAAAAACATTTTTATTTTAACTCTGGTTCTCGATATAACTGTCCAATCTCTTGTTGAGTCATGGAACATTTTTGGCATTTGTGACATCTAGTGGTTATGAATTCCATAGTCTAATCACACAAAATTCCTAAAATCCAATTTTTCACCTTTCAGTTCCAATTGAATAACCTTTTTTATATTAAGCAGTCCATATCCATGAATATATTTTGGTTTTGATCACTTAAGTGATCAAAGTTATATTATAAATTGGAAGCTGCAATTCAATAGGAAGTTATTTTGTTGCTACCTTAAAAATGACCTAGAAACAAGACATGACAAGTAATTTCAAGTTGTAGATAAAGGTCATTTTTTGCTAGATTCATATTTTTATATAAATTAATTAACCCACCATCCGTTTGAAGAGCAAATGGTACCAAGCGGTGGTTATATTAACCAAACATTCAGCTGAAAAAAGCTAATTATACAGGAAACGGAGGAAAAGGTTGACTCATATGCATATTTTTTGTTATGTACAATGAAGGTCATCGTAAATTAACATTGACATTCTTGCAAAAGAATAGTTGCTAATTACCAGCTGTAAAACAGGTATCTGTTTATTGCCAGGTTTGGTTAATTGTAATGCATGCTTTTTTAGTGATGCATATATTTGTATAGTAAAACTGTTTTATACAATTTTATACAAAATGGTTATATGATCCAAATTGTTGATTCAAATAGATGCAGAAGTTTGATTGCTTTAGATTTTACAGCATGCATTTTTTAAATGAATAGATTGGATTTATCTATATTTGCAAGCAACTCCTATAGTATTGGACAACATAATTTTCATAGTATGTTTCTGAATTTGAAAACTGTGAATGCTAAAGTGAAAATTAATTTTCCAGGTCCTTAATCATCTACATAAAAAGTTGAGAAACACATCAAAGAAATCAGAAGCATCCAAGAAAAAGGTAGCTTTCTTTTCTAACCAAGTACTGTTTATTTTTATTTAGATTTACAAGTTAGTTACCTAAGTTAGTACCTCAGTTATTGCCAAAGATACAATGTGGAGATGGTCTTGAATAAGAACAGAGTTAGAATCCAACCTCTATTCAGATTTGAATTTGTTTCCATCTTTGCAATAAATCATGGATTCCTTACACTTTGAACTTTGGAAGAGCTGAATGTCAGATCCAGACCGTGTACTCAAATGATATTCATATTTTGATGATATTCATAGAATGTCTTGTTTCTATGATAAACTTTCCAGATTGTTTATTGTACTTTTTTCCTAGGATTCTGATGTATGTTTTTTAAAATTGTCTTATCCATACTGGTTTTATCCTCTGGTGTTCAAGATCCTAGTTAAACAACTAATACAGATATGATTTTGAAAAGATCATATTAGCTTTGTGATTTAGAACTGTATCAAAGTATCTGTACATAGAGTTAATTTGTCAGTCAATATAGCATACACAGTTCTAATATTTGAGCTAAGTTCACACCAGGAATCATTTGACTAACTTTTAAATGTATGCATATAGAGTAAGAAAAAAAACATTGACTGGTCCAATGGATACAGCCATATAGAAGATAGAGTCGATATGCACCTCATAAGCTTTTGTGAACTTGAGCTCACTTCAACATCTGATGAAGTTAGGTAGAGTTCATGAAAGTTTATGCTCTTTATATATCTTATTTATAGTAGTTAGTCTATAAGGTGCATATCTACTCTGTCTTCTGCTTGACTTCGGACTAATACAGCTAACTACCTCTCTATAGCCATATATCCATGTAGAACCTCAGAAAAGTAAATGGGCTCTACATGTGTGGGGAGTCCTGGTTATACATACTGTATTGAAGAATTAGGGCTCACTGTTCTTGCAATATTTATGAAATTTCTAGATAGAAATCCAAGGCAATTTATTTTTAATGCTACCCTTACATGGAAATTCTAGTCAAGATCTTTTGGTCATAGAATGAAAAATGATAAAATCAAAGCACTTAAGGACCTGCTCACCTATGTTTGCTGAATCAAGGCTTAAGACATAACTACTAGATATATTTTAAAGGTCCCCCTTTCATCTAGTCAACTCATGCACAATACATTGCAAGACTGGTGATACTTGGTTCTTCTTCTCAAAGCTGTAGTTTCTAACATAATGTGATTACATGAGAATTAGAGGTTTCATTGAGAACTAAAACAAAACTAAACATTTCTGGCCATGATAGAGTAAGGTAAAAAGCTTGAAACTTTACCTCATGTATACCACAAGAATTTAACCAAAATGCAGGCAAAAGAGAACATTTCAAAATTATTATTTGACTTGAAAAGAAGCATATGTTTCTGCATAGGTCCAAATTCATAATTTTGAAAGCAATATTTAAATATTTCTCTGTTTTTTCAATCTGGCTACTCCATTAGAAAAACAAAACAAACAAGCAAACAAAACCAAAACAGGGACAGACACTACCTTTAGCATGTTCCTGACCTTATTAAAGCTGAAACGTCTGAATAAGGACATCAAAAGTGGAGTCTTAAATTTGCAGATGTTAAAAAGGCTAATAAAAATAAGAATTTGCCAGAATACTACTTCTGTATATTTATTGAACATACAAAATATTAATGCTTGTGTCATATTTCCTGGAATTATATTACAGGAAGTTTTATTTACTTATGAGGAACCTTAAGAGAGATCCCATTAAATAAACAAGAGCAGACCTGTAGTGTTTCCTTGGTTGCAAATTAGACTGCTAATGTTGTAAAGGTAACCTCTGGATTAAGAATAATGAAATAGAACAACTGTTGCAAGTATTTTCAATCCATTATGCACAATTTTACTCATCTTACAGGTACTGTGTACCCTAAGTATGAAAGGTCTGAGAGAGACGGAGTCAAATTCTGCCCTCAATTTCATCTATACAGTCCATCTAAATCAGTGGCATTATCAGGTGTAAACTAGCTCATAATTTCCAACTAAAGGAGATAAAATGTGTCCTGTATTAATTAATTTTGTACATAGCTATCCACATTATTCTATTTTTGATGAAAATGTTAATACATTAGAAAAGGACAGGAGCTTTTAAAAGGAAAAAATAGATAGAAAATTTTCTATTAAAAAAAGATTATGCTTTTTTATTTCTGCCTAAACACACATACCTAATAAATATAGTATTTCAGCTGGCAGTGGAGATTTTTGTTAACTTGAAGAGACCAATTTTAATCTCACATGGAGGCAACCTTTTTACTGGGCAGATCCTGAGGTTATGTAAGTCAGTATAGATGATTGTTTTTAGTGGAGTTATATTGTCTTATACCATCTGAGGAATGAACTCATTATTTGCAAATATACTTGTTCAGGAACATTTTTTATTAAATTTAAAACCTGAGTCAGATTGTGGCTCTTTTTCAACTAACCAGGAAGGGCATGGTTGAAAGGCATAGTCAGGAGAAGACCCAGAAGAACTTTGCCTGGAGTGAGCACAGGATATTTTGAGGACAGGAAGTCAGCTCTACTAGTTGGTATAGAAATTGCTGTATATTTCTTCCTGCCACACATCAACGAGTAGGACTGTACCAATTGCATGGGCAAGGCCAGATTTCTTACATCTCTCTCTGCCTTTTTGCATCTACTCAGGGAAAGACATAATCCTGCCTACATTCAACTTGCATACTTGGGTTGTATTTCTTAAAAATATTGAATCTGATTTCTTTATTTCAGTAATACACTTCAAGGAGACCTAAGATATTCCATCCAGAAGTTTTGCTTATATATTTAGATTAGTTTTCAAGGTTAAATGGTTAAGCAAGATGGATTCAAAGCGCATACTTATTTGGATCAAATTGGGAAAGCAAATAGTCCTCTAAAAAGTATTTTCTTGAAAGATGAATTTTAACGTTGGATTAGAAAGTTTTGAAGTGTCCTGTGATGATGAACTAAACACAAAATGTTCTCCTTTAATCCACGTAAGGGATCTATTTACTACAGTCCAGTGTTAATCCTGATTCTGTCTAAATTACTGGGAATCTCCCATTAACTCTCAATGGGAACTAATGTTGCTTTTTCATAGCTACTAACTTTTGAATACAGCACTTCTTAACTGGTTGACACAATTTCCACTTCTCAGCCAGCTTATATCTTCAGACTCAGAGCTGGAGTGGTAAATATTTGAGAGGAGAACACTAGTTTCTCTGTATGTGAACTGAATTTAAAATTTCAATTTAAACAAGAGTAATTGCATTTCTAAATTATTTTAAATTTCTGAGATCTGCCCAGATTCTCATGCTGACTGAGGGTTCACTAGACTAGAGTAACTAATTTTGATATCTGTGTTAAGGCTGTCCTTAATATGATCCAGGGGAGAAAATAGCTTTATGAATGAGCACAAGTGAATGAATGAGTTTAAAGTAGCAGTCTCATTTTCTGGCTTTGTTAGGCTCATCTTAGTCATGCCTATTTATTGCAACTCTGAATATTATCCAGATATGCAAGGCAAAGTTTCTTTCAGCAAGAAGAATCCTAGATCATGCCCAGCCCATTTGAGCTATATGTGAATGATAAGAGGACAAACAGACCACATGTCCAGCTTATACCCTGCTCTTCCAGATATCCAGGTGTGAGAGGGGCAGTTCTTGCACTGGCTGACTAAAAGTCAGTTCCAGAAGACATTTTGAAAAGGCTATGAAGCCAGAGAAGGCATAATGACAGAGTGGCTAAGACGCCTTTCTGCAACTCCAGCAACGTGCATTTAAGCTCCATTTTAGACTTGGTCCAGAGGTTACCCCCTTAGTTGATTCAACTGTAAATGGGTACTGGTAATTGAGGGATGGGGGCTCAAATGTGGCCTGATATTATACTTATCACTCCCATGTGTGCCTTTGGCTATAAGAACTGATGTGCAATGTCAATGTACTGCTAGGTTGAGTAAACCTTTGACTTTTTGAAGATGTCTTTTATCCATCTACTTTAGTTTAATGTCCAAAGACAAGATAATAGAATGTATTACATAGCCCCCTTATAACAGAAATAGGTAGCAAAAAAAAAAATCCCTGGAACCAAACCTAGGAAAGATGTTGACTGCACTTCATAACTAGATTCTGTTTTAAAATTCAGAGTGCAGACTGTCAGGTGGTGCAAGGTATCATAACCCAAGCCACTGGAGACTATAGACTAGATAGATCTTCTTCTGTATTATATGTTTAAACTATTCTGTTGGCTTGAATGCATGGATTACTTCATGTTAGTTGCCAAATCAGATTATTCCACTATGAGATGCTTTTCTGCACATTAGACTAATCTAATGCTCAGTAAAGTGTCACTTTCTACATGTGTGCAGTAATTACTGTACAGTAAATTAGTCTAATGTGCCATTTTCTAGTAATTGAAGATTCAGGTACTAGAACAATGGCATATTAATTAATGCGCCTTACCACATGTGTAGATGCTGAATGGGAGCAAATTGCTCCCAATCAGCCAAGGCAGCAGGAGACCACAGGAGGTGGGGAGAGTTGTTCCAGCTCAGTGAGGCAGCTGGGAGGCAGCTGTTCACACAGCCGGGACAGCTGTCCCCTTTCCCCTCAACCCTGGACCCCTGCTCAGGGCCAGTCCAATCTCCCTCCAGATGGGATGGAGCTGTCCACAGAGCCGGGACATTTCCGTCTTTGCCCTCTGGAGCTTGGGGCTAAGTTCCTGTGCCCCCTGCAGCCCTGTGGCTGGCACTCAGGGGAGGCTGGAGCTTTTCTTGGCTGCTTGCAGAGGGGCAGAGCAGGGCAGGAGCATCCCTCGATTGGGCTGCTCCTTTTGGGCCCAGTTTGCTCCTGCCAGGGGTGCATGTGTAGATGTGCACCACAGAGTGTTTTAATAAGCCTGCCCTGTAGTCAACAGAGTTACACCAAGGAAGTTTGCTTTTAGTTCTGTAGGAACTCATCTAGGCTTCATAATGCAATAGAGCCATAAGCAGGGGCAAGATAAGTCTGGGACAGGGTACTGCACAGTAAGATGAGTGGGCAGACTGTATGCTTCTTCTCATTCCCCCAAAGTACTCCATCACTTATGGAGGTGGAGGGGCTTTCCTTCTGATACAGAAAGGTTTATTTCAGTTTCCAAACTTTTCTGGTGATTAGGGGGTCCTGATGCAGAGTTTGCATGAATAGTGTCCTAGAGCCTTCATAACTGGAAAAGGCACCCTGGATATTACTTGCTAGATTGGACCCAGTAAAGCAGAACTCAAGGTGTTGGTGACCATGTTAGTGAAGTTAAGTGTAAAGGCAAGAGTGTAGAACAGATAAAATTCTATACCTGTGCAGGGAACAGTAATTCATGGGAATTAGTTGCTTAGGCCAGACAAATTCAGTTAGAGACAGATTTAATGTTCTTTGGCTGCAAAAGTTCATGTTGTGAGACATCTAATTAAAAAGAACTCCCCTGTAGGAGATCTAGCCTGTGTTACAGCAAAGAGAAATGATGTCTATGGTCAGTCCAAACTCCTCCTGAGGCAGTCCAAACTCCTTCTGAATAAGTCAGCCTGATAATAGATCTGACCAAGGTTAAGAGCTATTATTTAAGAGCAAGTAGCTTGGCTACTCATCATAGAAAAATACAGCCAAAATTCAAGAAATTAGGATGATACCTAGGCTGAAATATGTCATGTAATACCTTTTAATGGCTCTAGTTAAAACATGGTTTAGTTTTGCCTAATGTAGAGGGACATACCATGGTTCTGAGTTTTCCATTTCCTATGGAAAAATGGAGAAAAATGCAGATTTCACCCTTTACCTGAGGAAAATGTGGATTTCTTATTTTAACGGAGAAACCCACAAATTTTGCAGTTTTGCAAAGAGCTCTCTGCAGGCTGGCACAGTTCCAGACTGCAAGGAGCTGGGAGGGAGTGGGAGGAGGGCGGTCAGGCTAGGGGTGCCATGTACACATGGCCATCAAGCAGCCTGGAGAACAACTCCTGTAGGTAAGTTGGGGGTGGAAATTGAGGCTCCCATAGAGAGGGAGAAAGTTGGGCAGGGCTAGTTGCATGTGGCTTGGGGCCCAGGACCATAATATGCAGTCTCAGGACCCCAGTGGGAAGTGGGACTGGGCTGCAGGCACCTCATCTGAGGGTTGGGGGAGTGGGGCCATCTCCCCACCACTGTGCATGCTCCTGGTGGGGCAAGGGCAATCTGTGCCCCCCAGAACTTTGCACGGGTTGAGGGCAGCCATGGGCTGCCCATGTGGGGCTTGGGTTCTCTGCTCTGCTGCCCTTCCTCAGGGCCTCCACAGTCCAGACAAGGAATCTCCTGTGTACGGGGTAGCAGCAGGGGCAGGGGCACAGGTTTGTTGCTTGTGCTGCTGCACAAGCAGGGGATGCGTTTTCAGGGTAGGGTGGATTTTACAGCAGAAATGAGCTTCCCCATGCAGCACTGGTGTTCCGTGCAGTGCTGGGTTACACCTGCTGTGCTGCAGAGGCCCTGGGGGGGTGGGCAGCAGGGTGGGAGCTTGAGCCTGCAGCTGGCAGCCTGCACCCTCCTCATGCAGAAATCTTGTGGGGGGACACAGGTTCCCCACTGCCCCCCCTGGGAGTGCATGCAACAGTGGGGAGTCAACCCCCACTTCCCGAGCCCACAGCAGGCAGGGGAGCTGGGCTCTGCACCACTGAAGCAGCAGCTGCCTCCTGCCAAAGGCCCTGGCAGCTGGGGGGGCTGGCGGCTGGGGGGTCGGGGCAAGGTGCACCAGCAGGGCTGGGGGGGACTGTGGGGGGGAAAATGAGGGGTACCAGCAGGGCTCTTGGAACTGTTGGGGGGAGGGTGGCAATGAGGGGCCTTTCATTTTAATCACAGATTTTGGGGGTTTTATCACAGAATTTGTGATTTATCAGGGAAAACCAGAATCCCTGGATGTAACACAGCTCTGTAATGAGATTTGGTTCCATCCACTTGGAAGATCAAAACACATTGTAAGTGTTAAGACACTAGTTATAACCATGCACAACGTATTTCATAGTGAAGAAGGGCCTTAAGTCTCTCAACAACAAACTTACTGAAAGTGGCAGTTTTTAGATATTTGGTGAGTGCATCTACATGAGACACTTAGGATATTTTTACACATGCTCCGGGAGTTGTGATGGTGGTGGTGGTGGGGGGGCAGTGCTTTAATTAGCAAGCTGCACTAACTAATAGAGCCCAAGTGTCACGTGTATCAGCGTCTCCCATGTTGAAAAATGGCAGCAGGGCACTTTGAACTAAAGCTCATGAAACAAGCTTTAGGTCAAAGCACCCTGCTGCCATTTTTCAGCATGGGGGCGCTGATACACACGATGCTAGATTCTGCTGGAGTGTGTTAATTTTCATGCTCCAGCCAAGTCTGCTCTGATGCGCTGGATTTCCAATGCATTGGAGCTGGCTTCCTGCATGTGTATAGGAGCCCTTAATGCGCAGTAGCCTAATACTACTGTGCAGTAGTGTGCCGGGCAGAAATCATGTTAATATGCTACTGTGCAGTAGTATTAGGCTACTGCACAGTAAGCGTCACTAAAAAGCCTTGCGATGGTGCTACTGCGCAGTAACTGTAGTTACTGTGCATTTAGTTAGTACTTCATTAAGCAAGTACTAAACTAAATGCATAGTAACTACTCTGCATTAATGAACATGTGGACGTGTCCAGTAGGTACTAATTTGTTAAGCAACTAAAAACACTAAAAA